TTCTCAGCATCCTGTCAGTCTTTCTTAAACAGTTTACAAATGTCAGGGTTATTGTGATATACACAAATTGTGTACATCAATTTATCAGTTAAAGGGCATCGGAACTTAGTTTTACTGGTTTTCAATTGTTATGAGCAAAGCTCCTAGGAATATGCAAACGTGAGTTTTTGGGTCGGGACATGTTTTAACTTCAGCCTTTCAGGTAACTGTATCTACCTCAGTGAAGTGTCTCTTTAGTTGATTTGCATATTTTTAGTAGGGTTATATATCTTCTTGATGAACTGTGAGAGTTCTTTGTATCTTCTGAATAATATAGTTCTTTATCAGATAAATATTTGGCAGATATGCATTCTTTAGCTTGCTTTTCCATTTTCTTAAGAGTACTTTTCAAAACAAGTGTTTAAAAGTTTTGATGCATTTTACCATTTCTTTCTTTTATACTTCTTCCTTTTTTTATCTTAAAAGATCCTCAACTCAAGGTCATTGAGATTTTTTGCCTGTTTTCTAGAAATTTTATAGTTTCAGCTGTTGTTCTTAAATTTATGACCAATTGAGTTAATTTTTGTAAGAGCTGTGGAAGGAAGATCAAGTTTGGGATTTTTTAAAGATGTAGTTACCCAGCTGTTCCACCGATTTATGAAGTGACTGTAATTTCCCCCATTGATTTGTCTTGGTGCATTAGTCAAAAATCAATTGTTTATGTCTGTGCAGGTCTATTTTGGAACTCCCTCTTCTGCTCCATTAATCTAAGTATTTATATCCTTGTGCCCAAACCAGACTGCTGTAATCAGTGTAGCTTTCAGGTAGGGAAATCCCCAACTTTTTTCTTTTCTAAAGAAAAGTTAATTTCCACACACACGCACACATACCCGAGTTTCACTGAGATTGTGCTTAATCTGTAGATTTGGTGGGGGCAGGGGGGAATTAAAATCTTAGCAATATTGAGTTTTCTGATCCATAAGCATGGTCTATTTCTTCACTCATTTAAGTTGTGTTTATTCTTAGAAGAATTTTGCTGAAATATTCAATATATTGTCAGATTATCCTTAAGTATTTCATGTTTTTGATGTTATCATGGATGCTATTAAATTTGAATTTTCAATTCTTTGTTGTTGCTCGTGTGTAGAAATAGAATGGATTTCTATACACACCCTATTCTCCTGTAACCTTGTTTGACTCATTTATCAATTATAGTAGCAACTCCTATAGATTCCTTAGAATTGTCTACATAGATGGCCATGTTGTCCGTGAATAAAGTTTTACTTCTTCCATTTCGATCTATGTGTTTTCCATTTCTTATTCTTGCTTCAGAACTAGCCTGACCTCCAGTACAATGATGAATGGAAGTTGTGAAAGTGAACATAGTCACACTGTCCTTGTACCAAGGAGAAAACATTTGGTCTTTCATTAAGTATATTAGCTGTAGGTGTTACTTGGATGCTAATTATCACATTGAGGGTTTTCCCTTATATTTCAAGTCTCCTGAGAGTTTTTTAAAAATTGTTAATTAATTAATTATGTTTTTGAGATAGGGAAAGGGAGGAAGAGCAAGAGAAACATTGATGTGAGAGAGAACATCGACCAGATGCCTCTCAGATGCACCCCACGTGGAGACTGAATGTGCAACCCAGGCATTAGCCATGACCAGGTATCCAACTGGTAACCTTTCACTTTGGGGGATGACACCCAACCAAGCCACAGGGCCTGAGTTTTTAAAAAAATCACATCTACTGAAATGAACATATAAATGAACATGTGATTTTTCTCCATTATTCTATGCGTATAGAAAATTATATACATTGAAATTCAAACATTATGTCAATATAGCCGGGGCTATTCTAACTTTTTAACTATATTACATTCAGCAAGTTACATTTTATCAACCATCAAAAAGATTACAGGTTTTTAAATAACTATTTTATTTCCTTTTTAGGTTTCACCAGGTAGCTTTGAAATATATATTTTTTAAAAAGAGTACCAGAAAAAAAATAATAAAATGTAATTGACTGTGATTAAAAAAAGAGGACATACTAAATAATATGAATCTAAAGTCAAAAGCCAAAGGAGTCTAAAGTAAATGCTAGGCAATATGTGTGGTGTAGCATAAGTTAATCTAGAATCATTCTGGACTGACCAAATGCTTATCTCCAGAGTTTCCTAGAGCATAGTACTGACCCTTGGTCATAGCCATGAAATGTACTAACCAGGGATAAACAGTGTTTTGCAAACATGGGTTCATGAGTTGTTTCAAGGCAAGACATATCTATATCTGCCTACCAGAACTGCTTGGTAATAATAACTGGATTTATTACCTGTACCTGGATTTGGTGGAGTCTGGGGGTTTTCAGTGATTGAGCTGTTGGGTAGTAAGAATGAACCTACATGGCCAACTCACTCTGACACAGTCCTACTTCACAGACTTCGGGCTTCTCAATACCAAGGTGCTTCATGAACATGTCATGTGCTTTAACATCTGGAGAAGAACACGTTCTGGAAAACCCGGTGGAGGGGTGATGAAGAAGTCTATGTCTGAGTCCTCCATGACTATCCCCTTCAATCCTTAACTTTCTCCCACTGTTGCTGTGTTGCCTCATTTCTAAGTATAAACGGAGCCCTGTGAGTCCTTTATCTAATCAATCACTTCAAGTAATTAATGTGATATGAGTGCGGTACTCATTATCAGTACATAGTTTAAGTGGTATCAGTAAAATAGATGAAATAATAATCTTTAATAATGCTCTGAGCCAGGCTTCAACTTTCTATACCCAGGAACCTAGAAGTGGTTTGTGCTGAACCACTTCTTCAAAGTGGCTCAAAGGCTTTAACTCATATAAATGATGTAGGGTTGAAAAAGACACATACCCTTGGAAGTTATCACATTAAAATATTGTATGATGATGTTCCTAGTGTGTTAAAATGGCAATTAATGGTATCTTCATTAGTACTATTAGTTCATAAACTCAGGTAGAGCAATTCCAAGTTTAATAAAGCAGACTAAGAGGTCAGACAAAAAATGATTTTAAGTGTGGGTGAATTCATATGACTTCACTGTGTGAATCTGATTCATATCCAAATGCCGGCACCAATCTCATATACATTTTCAGTAAATAAATAAGAATCTTGATCTCCAATACTTAAAAATTAATCATTATCCAAATCTCAGTTTCAATTTTCTCATCACTACTAGCTTATGTTTCCCTTTCCTGGCTCTTTAAAGCCATGAATTCCAACAAATTCCTGCTAGATCTGTGCTTAGTAGTTAGAAGAATACAAACTAAATTTAATAATTCTTAAATATCATTTAAAAAAATAAATGTTAGTAACCACTGAATGTGGTAGCAAAGTTACCAATGAATAAGAAATATAGAACCATATATATTATAAATCCTCATTTTAAACAGTTGATTAAAACTGTGGGTTTGGTTTTTGAATCCCGTTTTTGTATGAACACTTTATGAAGGACTACCGTATAAAATACATTCCAGAAATTCAAATGTTGTTTTTAATAAGCTAAAATTGTAAAAAGACTTTTTCCTTACATTTAACTGAGATCCTACTTTACATAATTTTAGTCAATTAAGACCCAGGGTTAAATAATTTGGGAGCACAAAGGAGGCTAAAGGTCCCATTTTGATATCAAGATTTTTGCAAATCTTGGAATTGGAAAATAAGAGGTATAACTTTAAGAGATGAAAGTAGAATGTTCTGTAACTTCAAGGTCAAAGAAGTAAAATGACTGGTTAGTGTACCAGGAAGAAGAGATAACTAGGGGACAGTGAAGTTAACAAGTGCATCTTGGAGGGAAAAGAATTTGAATTATGTTCCTCAAGATAAGTAGGTTCTAAACAGTATTTTTCAGTGGGGGAAAAAAAAAGGCAGAAAAAGGCACAAAACAATTCACAAATTACACTTGAAGAATGGTAACTACACTTACATGACTGCACCAGGCCAGGACCATTGGCAAGTTCATTTTGATGATAACACTCGGACACTTTCATAATTACACATACTAAATAATGTACTCTTATGTATCCCTTTGTAGGATTTTTGGAAAGGTATGACATAGCAATATTATATTTTTAAAAAAGCACCCTATGTCTAAGTAAAACAAATTTTAAATTTTGACCTTAGTTGGCTCATTTGTTTTCCAAGCTACAGTTTGCAGAACCCCAGGATTGGATGTAAATTTAAAGATCCAGAAAAATATACCCTCTATTCTATTGAAGTTGGAAAAGTTATAGCTTACCAAAGATTATTAGTCTTGCCTGTTTCTTTAAGGCAATAAAAAGATTTTAAAAATGCATTTATTAAACTCAAATCATTCAGCCTGCTTGTCTAAAGAACATCGATTATCGTGTATATGCATAATCATTTCAATTTCAATCTACAGTGTGCCTGGTTTTATTAAAAGGATTTGAGGCCAAAAGTGACATTTATTGAATATGTAACCAGACATTCTATCTTCCTAGCAATTATTATTATATTAGCAATAAGGCACACTAATGTAGCTCAATAATTAGCCATATATTTTTAAAGATTTTATTTATTTAGCTTTAGAGACTAGGTAAAGGAGGGAGAAAAAGAGGGAGAGAATCGTTGATGTGAGAGAGAAACATCAATCAGTTGCCTCTACTATGTGCCCCAACCTGGAACCAAATATGCAATCCAGGCATGTGCCCTGACCAGGAATCAAACTGGGGACCATTCACTTTGCCAGACAATGCCCAACCAACTGAGCCATACCAGTCAAGGCAATAACCATACTGATTCACACAGTACACTCCATATCTTCCCATCTTTCTAGAATACTATAATTTTTAGCTTTAAATTACATTCAAATGAACTAATTGCAATAAAGAAAAAATTTTAATGGCAACTATTTCAGCATTTAGATAAAATTCTCATTATCATTAAATACACATATAGGTATAATTCTAAAAATTTAAATTTAACAAAATATCAAGTAACCAAATTATACACACCTGAGGCCACATGCTTACCTGACATTGCCCTTGGTGTTTCTGAGAACTGTTGCTGCAAAATTTTGTGTAACACCCACCAAGCTGATTCCGTCCACTTCTACAATCTGGTCATTGACTTGTATTCTACCGGAATAGAGAAAAATTACCCACAGTTAATTTTTCTGATAATACATTACCATCTGCAATAAAGGAGTTGACAAAATACTTGATTTTTAAGACACTCTTACTGATACAAAATTTGTCTTTTAAATATCAGCTCCAGACCTCAGTCAAATGCTCACTGTTTTTAAAAGATTGTTTTGAAGAATAGAAATAAGCAATACTAAATGAAGAGATTCAGTTAACCTAACATCCATATTGCTATCACAAAGGATTGCTGTTAATGTATAACATTTCTACATTTTCTTTTGTCCTTAAAAATCACTTAGAATGTTATAGTTATAGCTGAAATACTGTTTGGGCTTCATACTCTCCAAGGAAATTCTATAAGAATTTCAGGGAATCCTTCACATATATAAATTTCTTATGTACATATAATATATATACACACATATACACACACATAAAGATGCATATGTGTATGTATATATTTATGTTTACAAGCAATATATGATATGAGTGTTATTCAGTGTATAAAGCTTCTAAAGTTACATACATGTTTTATACATCTCTTTTTTATATTCCTCAAAATGAAATATTTTAGTCATGGAAAAATGAAGAAGGAATTAGACAATAAACACACAAATATTATTAGATTATTAATTTATTACAGAAAAGCTGAATTCCCTTTATTATTTGCCTCTAATTCTCTTCCATTCACTCCTAACACAGAGGTAGCCATCATGCTTATTTTGATGGTTAGCCTTTCTATTGATGTTTTGAAATAGAAATATCAAGTATGCATGAATAGGCATAACATGTACATTTCCAGTTTTCAAACTTCATAGTAAATCTCTTTTTGTACAATTGAGTTTCCTTCACTCAATGTTATATGTAAGATTTATCCATGATTACAAATACAATTTTAGCTAGTTCATCTTAATAACCATATAGTATTATTTTGATAAACATACAAAAATGCATTTACTCATTTTTTGCAAAGGGACAATTATATTACGTTCTAGCTATTATGAATACTATTATAATAACCAATTTCATACATGTCTCTTTACACACGTGTGTGAGTTTCTCCAGGTTATATACCTAGAAATAAGATTCCTGAGTCAAAGATCAGAGGGAATTTCAACTTGAACAAACGGACAAATTTTAGTTCCAGTTGCTGACTCTCCACCCCCTCACCAATGCTTGGTACAGTCAGACCCTTTACTTACTGCAGATCTTGTCAGTGTCAAAACACACCATACTGTGACTTCCATTGCATTTCCCTAACTACCTGTGTGGCGGAATGTCTTTTCCTATATTTAAGAGTCAACTGTCCACTTTTGCACACTGTTAAATCATGTCTCTTACCCATTTTTGTTGATGTTGGGTTGTCTTTTTTTTAACTGGTTTATATAATATGTTTTCACATCATCTGAAATAGTTTTACCCCTGTCTGTAACTTGTCTTTTCACATTTCTTTGGAAAACAGTGGTTTTGAGGGAAACAATCTAAAAATATATAGAATCTTAATTATAATTTTAGCTTTATATCAGGTAGTCTTTGTATCTGAGAAAGAAGAACAAAGGAGGAGGCATCACCATAACTGAAATCAAACTATATTACCAGGCCACTGTTATCAAAACAGTCTGGTACTGACATAAGACCAGACACATAGAACAATGAAATAGATTAGAAAGCCCAGAAATAAAACCATGTCAACATAGTCAGTTAATATTTGACAAAGCAAACAGGAACATAAAATGGAGTAAAAATAGCCTCTTCAATAAATGGTGTTGGAAGATCCGGACAAGTACATGTAAAAAAATGACACTTGACTACCAACTTACACCATACACAAAAATAAACTCAGGATGGATAAAAAACTTATCTATAAGTTGTGACACCATAAAAATCCTAGGGGGAAACACAGGCAGGAAAATTTCAGATATCCCATGTAGCAATATTGTCACCAATACATCCCCTTGGGCAGGGGTGTCAAACTCATTTTCACCGGGGGCCATATCAGCCTTGAGGTTGCCTTCAAAGGGCCAACAAAATTTTAGGACCATATAAATGTAACTACTCCTCAACGGTTAAGGAGTTGAAATTACATTCAGCCCTTTGAAGGCCACTACAAGGTTGATGTGGCCCCTGGTGAAAATGAGTTTGACACCCCTGCCCTAGGGCAAGGGATATAAAGGAAAGAATAAACAAATGGGACTACATTAAACTAAAAACCTCTGCATGGCTAAAGAAACATCAACAAAATGGAAAGGGAACCAACCATATGGGAAAACATATTTGCCAATGATACCTCAGACAAGGGTCTGGTCTCTAAAATATATAAAGAACTCACGGATCTTCACACCAGGAAGACAAGCAATCCAATTAAAAAATGGGCAAAAAACCTGAATAGACACTTCTCCAAGGAGGACATAGAGAGGGCCTATAGACACATGAGACAATGATCAACATCACTAGCCATCTCAACATCAAAGAGATGCAAATCAAAACCGCAGTGGATACCTCTTCACACCAGTCAGACTGGCCATCATTAATAAGTCAACCAACAAGAAGTGCTGACAAGGCTGGGGAAAAGGGGGAACCCTAGTGCACTATGGGGAATGCAGACTGGTGCAGCGACCATAGAAAAAAACTAAAAAACTAAAGATGGAACTGCCTTTCAATTCAGTGATCCCACTGCTGGGACTATACTCTAAGAACCTTGAATCGTCAATTTGAAAGGACCTATGCAACCCAGTGTCCATAGCAGCACTATTTACAATAGCCAAGTGCTAGAAACAGCTTAAGTGTCCATCAGTAAATAGGTGGATGAAAAAACTATGGTACATTTACACAATGGAATACTACACAGCAGAAAGAAAGAAGGAGCTTCTACCCTTTGCAACAGCATTGATGGATCTGGAAAGCACTATATTAAGTGTAATAAGCCAGGCAGTGAAAGACAAATACCATATGATCTCACCTGTAAGTGGAACCTAGTAGACAAAACAAATGAGTAAGCAAAACATAACCAGAAGCATTGAAATTAAGAACAAACTGACAGTGATGAGAGGGGTAAGGGGAGGGGAACAAGGAGGGAAAGAAGGGGAAAGGGGAAGGGGCAAAGGAACATGAATAGAGAGCTCAGGGGCACGGACAGTGGGGGGACATTGACTGTGGGATTGGGGGAACAGGGTTGGGGTGAACAATGGGGAAAAAGGCAGGACAACTGTAACTGAACAACAATAATTTTTTTAAAAAGAAAAGAAATCTTTTCCTACCTCAAGATTATAAAATTATTCTATATTTTCTTCAAGAGAAAGAAAATATTTTCAACATTTTGTTTTTCTACATTTAAGTAGTAATCCACCTAGAAATTCTTTATTTTAATATATTAGCAATATATTTTTATTCTTTCCAAGTGTATAAACAATTGGCTTAACAACATTTAACAAAGAGTCCACATCCTACTCTGCTGATTTGTGATGGTCTTCAACATGCTTTGGGTTGTTTATCAGTTTCTACCTGTCTGGCTGTCCATCTCTGCATACCACGTTGTTTCATAATTAGTTTTGACATTTCATAGGGCAACTTCCTTCACCTATCATGGCCTTCAAAAAATTTTGAGCTATTTTTGAGCTTCTCTTCATAATTAGTTTGGATTTACATGCCAAGTTTTATAAAAATACTTGTTGGTGTTTTAATAAATTACACTGATTTTTAAGATTAGTTTATGGAAAACTGATACCTTTATCATATTGACTCTTTCCATAGATGAAAATTGAGTACTATGGTAATTACCCTGGACAAGTGTCTATATCGTGTTGTGCCATGTGTTTAGCAAGATTATTTAAAGTTTAGAAATATAAATCAAAGGAGGGCACCCTTCTTTTCAATGCCATGTAGGTACATTATTTAATAGGCCCACTCAAGGATACTTTGGGAAATGTATTTTAATTGATGCACTACTTAAACTTGATTAAAAGTCCTGCATAGATTGAAGCTGCATGTTAATTTGTAGATCTTTGTCCTGAAAAAAATTCAGACACTTTTCTTCTATTAGAAAAGATAATCTCATAGGCCATACTTTATTTCTCTGAAGAATATTAATCAGTTTTGCATCAAACTTGCCGTTATTCTAATATTACTTTATTGACTTGCCTTTAAATGCTACTCCTAAAATGTTCTTTAAACTACACTTAACATTTCACTGATTCTCTTAATTAGTGAGTTGAATAAAGTCTGGTACATGTTCATTTTACATTTATGAATGTCATCCTTATTTTAACTCTTTGATTATTAGCCTATAATAATTTGAAGACTCCACCAAGATTCCAGAGTAGATTCACAAGGCCATTCCAGCCGTACGACCACAGAAATGTGCTTCATGGATTGTTTAAGACCAGCCACATCTTCGGTTGGTCTCCAGAGTGATTCTTAAGCAGCAACAGAATTTTATCTTGGCTATCACGATTCTTGTTCTAATTTAGTACTTTTGATTTTTTTTTTACTGGTTCTTGGCCAGTTTAGTTCTGAATCTAGTTTGTACTAGATAACAACAATGATAAATAGTTCCCCCCTGTGAGCAGCAATGAGCGGGAATGTAATTTTACAATCTCACCATTCGAGAACTCTATTGGGATTATAGAGCTCCATTATCATTACCTATTATGTGAGAGATGATAAAAAATGGAGCCTTATTATCCTTTAATTTCTTTGTCTATTTGTGAGCTCAAAGTATTCCATTAAAAAATTTCCTGGGCACTAGAAAGGAAAATAGCCCTTTGAAATCTTGACCAGTGAGGTTTTGTGGTTCTTTGGTCATTTAACCTGTTTCTGGGGCCGCAGAAATGAAGCTCCAAACTCTGTAGTGGCTGTAGTCGGCAGAAGCCATTGTTTCACCATCTGCATATGAAGTTATGTTCCTCACTTAGAAGGTATCTAATGATGAAGTGATAATCTAATCAGTTCATGGAGAATACTAAGCACTTTAATGAATCTTATATTTTAGTAGCTAA